ATATGTGATCACTGAGTGAGGTGGTAGGGGATATGTGATCACTGAGTGAGGTGGTAGGGGATATGTGATCACTGAGTGAGGTGGTAGGGGATATGGGATCACTGAGTGAGGTTGTAGGGGATATGTGATCACTGACTGAGGTGGTAGGGGATATGTGATCACTGAGTGAGATGGTAGGGGATATGTGATCACTGAGTGAGGTTGTAGGGGATATGTGATCACTGAGTGAGGTGGTAAGGGATATGTGATCACTGAGTGAGGTGGTAGGGGATATGTCAGTGTAGACACTGTGCCTTTATGAAATCACTGAGGGAGTGTGTATTGCATTCATCAGGAAATCATACAGTCAGATATTGTGGTTATGTGGGAGGACAGATATTAATCTGTGTCCACATCACTGGCAATGTGACTCATCCTTCTGTTATGGAAACAGTTGAAGAACAAAGCTTGTTAGATCTTTACTCACAGGCTGAAGTGTTCTGTTATTTACTGTTATAGCCGAATATTTACTTCTCATCTAGATGTCACATTTTACACAATTAGATAATTAAGCGAGCCTTTCGACATTCTAAAGACATTTTCCATTTGCAGAATGTAAGTTGTATGGTTACCAGTTGTAAATAATGCAGGGGTTGGTCTGTTATGTTTGAATTAAACTTTAAAGACAAGCAATGGGGGAAAAAAGTAGGATATTGACTCAGTAAACTAAATGAACTTATTTTAGCTCTTTCATGGGAATTTAGAAGTTAGTAGTTCATAGATACACAAGATATACATGTGCATTCTGACATCTATGTTCTGCATACAGTGTTTCATGGGAATTTAGTAGTTCATAGATACACAAGATATACATGTGCATTCTGACATCTATGTTCTGCATACAGTGTTTCATGGGAATTTAGTAGATTATAGAAATATGTTCATTCCAACATCTATGTTCTGTATATATATTCTTTTAGGCTTTTTCTATTAAAATATGCAAGTCCATATGTCTTTATGGCTCTTTAAACTTTGATTTCACCTTGGTAATATTTAAGTAGAATACTTTCTTTTTGAAAACTCATAAAAATATTTTGTTGAAAATACCAGAGGTGTTCTGTGAGAGAGAAAGGCTATGCTGTGTAGCAGTTGAGGATAAACATTACTAGTATTCCAGGATAAGTTGAACAACTCACAAAGTGCCTTGAGACAGAATTTGGGCTTTCATATTAGGTTTGTTACAGGAAGAGAGGGTGAATGCATGTGCAGGTCATGACGATGACATTGACTACTCTCTTGTGGACACATGTTGCTCATAAGACCAGTAAGAGGTCGATGTGACAAGTCAATATCAGGAGTCTCGAAAATTTGTTTGCTGGAAGTAAACTTCAAACAAATATACATGTCAAGGCTTGGTAAGCATGGTCAAGTTATACATTCTCAAGCCGGAGAATTGGCCTAAAGTGTCACATGGAGAAGGATTGTACAAATACCTCTGAGCATTGTCAAAAGCTAGCATCGCCACTGGTCTTGTCTCTCATGATACGTCTCAATTGTTCTCATACAGGGTTAGTTGTCAGGTCACAACTCAACTTATCCTGGCCTACCAGTAGTTCTTGAGTGTATGTATATCTTCACTATATCTCTTAAGGGATTTTATAGGCGCTTCACGCAACAAGGATCCTACCTGGTACACTATAAAGACTGTCATGGCTTCCGATTTACCTTTATTTGTGGTGGTAGTGACGTGATGTTTAATTCTGTGATAATTTAACTATTTGGCATAGTTTTATAAGAGCAATGTTGTGTACGAATCTGTGACCTGATTTTGTTGATTTTTCTTCTCAGAAATTTCATGCATAATCTTCAGAAAGATGTTTTGTCAATTTGTAAACAAATTATATTGAATTGTTTATACTGTGCAAATTATCTTGTGTCTGTTGAAGAGTCAGTAAGGCATTGTTGTTAAAGATGGTGAGGCCTGTCTTTGCTATTTTTGTTGATTTTTTTGTCTCAGCAAATTTGTGACGCATATTCAGAATGAATTGTCTATTTGAAAACAATATTTTTAATAAACATAGTTATTGATCTTCATTTTAATTATGACATACTTTTTCATAGTAACAGTTGCTATCAAAAGCAAACACCTAAAGAACACAATTAGTTTTTTGAGACCCATGAAGATCTGGGGTAGAATAGGTCTTCAGCTACCCATGCTTGCCGTAAAAAGCGACTATGCTTGTCGTAAGAGGCGACTAATGGGATGAGGCGGTCAGGTGGTCAGGCTTGCTGATTTTGTTGATGCATGTCATCATATCCCAATTGCGTGGATCGATGATCATGATGCCTATCACTTTATTGTCTGGTCCAGACTCGATTATTTACAGACCGCCTTTATATAGCTGGACTATTGCTGAATGCGGCGTTAAACAACAAACAAACAAACGAAATAGTTTTTGAGCAAATTTTAAAAACATTAACACTGCATCAGCAGTCTATTTGAGGGTCACACACTTCACAGCAACTCAAAAAACTTCTTTGTCTATCTGTTCTAGAAATGTAACCATATGATTTAAAAAAAAGTGAAATTGGAGTTTGTTAAATTAGACAGTGTGACAAGAAATGGAGCCTTGTAACCTGGAGCTTGTCTTGCCTGTCACACTGTGACACATTACCAGTTAACCATTTGCTAATGTGATGTACCACAGGACTGCCTTGCTTGCAGATGACGTATGTCCAGATGGACGCTCCAATATTATTTGTACAGAGACTAGTTATGAGGTGGCATAGAAACCTAATTTACAGAATAGGAATAGCTAAAACTGAATGTGGGGCGAAAAGGGAAATGTAGGGCAGGCTTTTGACAGCTTGAAAAAGTGATCAAATTAATGGTTTTAATTTTTTGGTAAACAATATGTCTTCATTTTTTCCTGTGGTTCACCTTTTTAGGATTATGAAAATACATTACTATAAAATTTTGAAATTATGTTGTTTGATTAAGAAGACACCAAATGTTTAGTTTCATGTTCCAGTTTGGGAGAAAATTGAAGCACTATCTGCAGAAACGTGCATCGTCAAGCTTGAACCAAATGTAGTTGCTTCAGTTTTGAGATAGTAGGCTTGATTTTGAGTCATTGTACTTCCACAGATAGCATGAGAGAAAACCCTGATAGATACACAATCATGAACTTTTGTCTGAGAATTCAAGTGTTTTCAAGCTTGTTAAGAGTCCAGTTGAGATGGCCAATTGGCATAAACTGTGTGGAGATGTCTAACAGCACGTCAGTACTTGTCTGTACTTGATCTGCACTAATTATTGTATCGACCAAGGACAACCTCTGATTGACAGTTCTCTCTTCATGAAGAACCAGTTTTGCATAATGGAATATGATCCGATTTTTGCTGACTGCCCGTTTTATCAAAGTCTGTCTTATTTTAGAGTGTAAAAAACGATGAATCAATTCTTTCTGACAGTTTGATTTGCGTCAGGTGGATTGTGTTGAATAATGCTGATTAAAAGTTGTCGAGGATTTTCTCCAATGTGGCAAGTGTCATTCAGGCCTTATAGAACTGCTCATTTCAACGGCAGTATTTGGAAAACAATAAAGATGGCTGACATATTTTCATACGCATAGCTTTGCCAAGTGATTTGAGAGAATTGAATTGTTGAGTCATGAGGGGGGGTGGTCGGGTAGCCTAGTGGTTAAAGCTTTCGCTCGTCACGCCGAAGACCCGGGTTCGATTTCTGACATGGGTACAATGTGTGAAGCCCATTTTTGGTGTCCCTCGCCGTGATATTGCTGAAAAGCGGCGAAAAACCAAACTCACTCACTCACTCACTCACTCATTTTATTGGAGTATGTTATAAATTCCCCCTTCATTGCTCTTCTAGAATCACTGTCTTATCTCTCCATCATGTCCGTTCCTCATCTCTTGTCATTCCTCCCCATGGGGACCTGGGTGAGGGCTTGTTGAAGGAGGTGACTGAATGGATCAGGAGTCTTGGTTGGTTGTGTGTCATTGTACCCCGAAGGCATGGGGTGTTGCTAATGAAATCGACCACTGATTTTTCTAGGCCAGACTATATATATAAAGTCTGCCATGAATATTGCTTGGCTTGAATATTGCTATATTTCTTTGGATTGGTCTTCAGCAACCCTTAATGTGATCGGCTGGTCTGACTTGGTTAATGCATGCCTTTGTATCCCAGTTGCATAGATTGATGTTCATGATGTCAGTCACTGGATTGCCTAGTCCAGAATCGATTATTTTTTTAAGACCCCCATCATATAACTGGAATATTGCGGAGTGAGGCATTAAACAACAATTAAAAAAATATTGCTGACTGCTTTTTACAACAACACCAACATTTCCACCATCTGTACAACAAGTGCATTCTTTTCTTGGTTTCCATATGCAGTCCAATCTGCTGGACTATGTATTAAATCCTGTCAGGTTGTCTTGTCACTGATCCATCAGTGGATGTAATGCTCCTGGACTGTACCACAATAACTTGATTAAACATGGTCTTAAGTTGATTGATTTTGGTTGTGCCGAAGACCTAGGTCACAGAATCAAAATGGCACTTTGGTGAACTTATACTTTTTCATAAGCAGTATTGAATATTAAAACATTTGTACAGTGTCATATGCATTTCATTTTCTGTATTCACCGTATAAATCTCGGCACCCCCTTCTAGACCACACTGTAAACTGTTAGCTCTGAAAGTCCCTTGAAGTCTGTAATTGACATGAACACTTCGTATTGTCTTCTACATATTGCAGATCTTTTTACAGTAAACACAAAAGTGTATGTGGTTTTAATAAGCACCTCCTTTATAAATTGTTTAAAGTGGCCCAGACATTTATTATGGGAAATACGTTACTTAGATCTTAAAACTAAACTTCAGCCATTAACTTAAACAACTGTTGAGGTAGAGAGTGTCACAGCTCATACCTCTTCACGTTTTGCTTGTGTGTTTCTGGCTGCAATTGTTTACAATGTTTCTTCTTTGTTTCCAGTGCATGGTGTTTCTGAAGATGTCCGCCTGAGTGTGTACCAGGTGCATGATGGGAAGACGTGTGTCATCTGCTTGGACACCTTCCACTTCCACTATGACTCCGCCTACCACATGGCCGTGTTTCTCATAGATAGTGTCTACAACATTCATGCCCTGGATGACCTGGAACTTATCAAGTCAGAGCAGTTTGATTTAGCCAATGAAATTGTGTCTACTTTGGATGAGAGACTTGTGAGTGCCCTGAAAAGCATATACCTTCCGATTGGTTGGAATATACTTGGTGATGATACAGGTACGTAGCTGTAGTAACAGTAGTTGTGTGGGTTAATAGCACTGGTTACAATGGGTCCCATTTGCATGTCTACGGGGTAACATAATGGATCAAGTTGTCAGGCTTGGTTTTGTTTGTTTGTTTGTTGTTTATTGAAGCGATAAGCAGTATTCCAGCTATATGACGGTGAATTGAAAATAATCCAGTCTGGACCAGATAATCCAGTGATTTATATCTTTAGCATCAACCAAGTCAGTGAGCCTGACGATTCCGTTGACATAGGTGATTAATGTATGTCATTGTACCACCATGGCATGGTGATGTTGCTCATGGTATCAATCACTGGTTTGTCTGGACCAGACTCAATTATATACAGGCTGCCATAGATGGTGCTTAGTGTGGCATGAAACAACAAATGAAATAATTGTATCATTAGTTTAAGTTGTATTGGTTATAATAGTTAAATTGCTTGAATTAGCTGTATTATTAATTGTACCTGGTTGCTTATAAAACTGACAAAGGGGATACTTATAAAAACAAAAATATAAATTATGAGAGTCAATTAACCAACAATAGCTAAAACATTCTGACCTTTACATACCATCAGAAACTATTATTTACAATTAATATTAATATTAATATTAATAAAACTAGGACATGTGTTGCAGTGCATTGGTACATTGACGGATGGTCATCACCCATGCATGTCAATATCTGGAGTACCCATGAAGATTCCGGGGTAGAATAGGTCTTCAGCAACCCATGCTTGCCGTAAAAGGTGACTATGCTTGTCGTAAAAGGCGACTAACGGGATCGGGTGGTCAGGCTCGCTGACTTGGTTGATGCATGTCATCGATCGCAATTGCGTGGATCGATGCTCATGATATTAATCACTGGATTGTATGGTCCAGACTCGATTATTTACAGACCGCCGTCATAAAGCTGGAATATTGCTGAGTGCGGCGTTAAACAACAAACCAACCAACAACAACCATATCTGGAGAATGAGTTTCTATAAAACACTTGGGAGAAATCTGTTGTTGCTGGGTTGAATTAGCTGGGCATGGATGTCCTTGTGGCCTGCGATGTGTTGTGGGGAGTTGCGACCAGTCCAGGGAGCACCTTCTGGTCATTGGTTGGTTGGTTTGGATCACATGATTTGCACCTTTTTCCTTGGTCTGTCAACACCTTGGACTTGGGTTACACTGAACTGACACTGCTTTAGATGAGTGACTTGTGATATATAGCAACACAAACTCAACTCATCACTAAGATTTTTTAAAACTATTTGTAGGAAAAGTGAAGGAAGCTACTGTACAATCCTCCATTTGCCTCCATGTGTGCACAGAGTTCGAATAATTTCAGTTATAATAATGATTGTCAGTGAGTGATATTGAATCCTGTGAGCCAGAATGGTTAAACTTAAATAGTAGACAAATATAGTGTTTGAGATGGAGGTTATGATGAGGGGGAAAGAATGTTTATATCTTTGATATTAAAACGCACATGTAATAAAGTAAATATGATTATCAAACATAAAATTCCTGAATGTTTCATTGTGTGATTGTTTGAGCCGTAGCAAGGTATCCATGCTATTGATGTATATATAGAATGCAATCAGATGGGCTCCAGATACAGTCAAACCTTGCTAGTCTGGACAGTACAATTCCCACTAAAGTCGTCCATGTTACGAATCATGTCTACTGATAATGTCCCCATGTATACATAGGTCCAAACAGTAATCATCATGCAGACAGGTGTGTCAGGAGCAGATAAAATAAGTTTATTTCTTTGGCTTGGCTATTATCAATTATCAATGACGAAATGAATGAAAGTACCATATTTTCTTGAGTATAGTGGGCATCCATGTATAATGCACACAACCCCCTCTAACGGATTTAGAATTTTGGAAAAAGAAATTTGAATGTCAAGCGCATAAAAAAAATACACCATAGACTTACCCCTTCAGCGAATTCCGGTAAACGAACGGGTGATGAGAAACTTGGTCAGTACAAATTCGAAATTTGAGATAAAAAATCACCAGACATGTTTATTTACTGTTTAAATTGTATTCGTTGTTCTGCTAGGCATTGTTTTACATCCAGGGATTCAGATTACCTTGTGTATTTTCTCGTAAACTAAGCTGGAAACAGCAATCAGCTGTACACACATTTTCTTGGAATCTAACGGTGATTCGGTCAAGATACACCCAATGATATATCTTTACAGGATTTTAATGCAAGGATCGGCAAAAATTGTATCTGAAAATATTTTTTTTATCAGGAATAATATATCCCAATATCTTGTTAATTTAGTTGCAGCTTTCACTAAACATATTTTAAATAATAATACCCCTAAGCGAAGCAGCTGATCACTATTGCCGGTTATCATTTTTCACATGGAACCAGTCTGACCAGTCAACGTCAAGGCTCCCGCGCACGTGATCGCGAGAACTATGTGTTGACATAGAATCGTCAAACTATAACAAATATGACTTTTAATGAGTCAAAGTATGGTATCCATTCTCTGTCAACTAATGTTCGTTTCAAGGCATCAATAGCGGTAATCGGACCGTGGTTGCTGTTAATAATGGTGAGTTGTGCGATCTTCCGATCGCTTCACACATGATTTCGCCGAAATTAATTAAAACAATATTAAAAGGAATTTTGAATAAAATTAATGAAATAAGTTACATACATAAGTCCAGATATACAAAGAACACTTTTTATAGCCAGACAGTGTAATTACATGATTAATTTGCGTACTTCAGTGTGGGTTTGTTGACATTGTATTTCCGGTGTTACGTGCTCACGGTCATATCTTTCCATGGTGTTTAAAAAACATCAAAACTCATTATTTTGTGTATAATGCGCCCCCCTTCTACAAAGCTGTGTTTTTTTTTTAAAAAGTGTGCACTATACTCAAGAAAATAAGTATTCCTGGAAGATCTAATCTCCGATGAATTTTATGTATTGTATGCACTGCTGTTTGTCACTGTGTTACCTCCCTTGATTAAATGTAACTATAGTTGGCTGTCAAACTCCTTGTCAAGGAAATGATCACCAACATGGGAAAAGCGTGTAACCTATTTCTTTCTAAAACTGAAGAGCAATTCGGAAGTGGAACAAAACCTCGCAGTATGTTTATGGCAATTTGTTGTAATATGCATCAATACAGAGTACTGCAGTACAAACTACCGGGCCTTCCAATAGTACTGAATTATGTCCCTTAGTGCACATGTCGTAATAGTAATCTATTGAAGACTTCCGGGCCTTCCACTAGTACTGAGTTATGTCCCTTAGTGCACATGTCGTAAAAGTAATCTATTGAAGACTTCCGGGCCTTCTTCTAATACTGAGTTATGTCCCTTAGTGCACATGTCGTAATAGTAATCTATTGAAGACTTCCGGGCCTTCTTCTAATACTGAGTTATGTCCCTTAATGCACATGTCATAATAGTAATCTATTGAAGACGTCCGGGCTTCCACTAATACTGAGTTATGTCCCTTAGTGCATATGTCGTAAAAGTAATCTATTGAAGACTTCCGGGCCTTCTTCTAATACTGAGTTATGTCCCTTAGTGCACATGTCGTAATAGTAATCTATTGAAGACGTCTGGGCTTCCACTAATAATGAGTTATGTCCCAAGTGCACATGTCATAATAGTAATTTATTGAACACTTCCAGGTACTGACAGGGTTTCATGGTACCTGTTTCAATATGGCTGGTTGTAGCTTCCTCATGACTGATTTTGTACCATGTGTAGATGACAGGGTGATTCACTATAGTCGCCCATTGATTGACTTTACTTTTCACTGTGAAATTATTTCACTTGCCGCCACTACATTTAAAGTACTTTGTATTTGTAGATGATTTGTGTCAGGATCGCGAGACACTTCTTCATTTCGCGGCTCGCCTTGGCCTAAGGGCGGTAAGCCTGTTTCTCCTGGAGCAACCAGGGGGAGAGACTGCCACTCAAATCAAGAATCGCCACGGTGAAACTCCTGCTGAGATCGCCACGGAACACGGATATCAGGAAGTTGCCGAACTTATCTCAGGGTAGGTAGTATCTCTAGTTTGCTCTGATGCAAAGAGTCTGCATATTTGTTTAATTTTAAAATAAGCTATTAAATTTCCTGATTGGGTCAGTCGTGATGCAGATAATTTACACAATATTGTCAGATTATCATATTTTGAAATAAACGCTGTAATAGTCATTATTTATAATAATGATGTTGACCCCCTGCAATACAGCTATTAACCCATTGACCCAACAAGAGGTTATGGTGACATCAAGATTAGGGATGCTTGGGCCAACCCAGCTTACTTCATTTCTATCTGCATGCAGTTCAATGCATATCGGACACCCCACCCTTATGTATTACATCAGCCAGACCAAATCCAGCCCTCGTGTTATAAAGAGGCTGTTGGTTAGCTCCATGATCTGCGTGTTTGCTTGCCATACAAAAGAGATGCCACACATAATGTGATGATGATGATGATGATGATGATGATGATGATGATGATGATGATTAGGTAGCACTCTGGTCTGTGTGGTGGCTTGCCACACAGATTGTTTGGGTTTCTTATAATTGGCTGAAAATGATGTTGATGTTTATTACAGTACAAGACTTTGAAAACCATTTTGTATGGTTTTATATTTGTGAAATTTGCTACCCTTTATCTCAGGTTTGCTGGAAATAGTTGGAAAGTTCTTCAGTTCTGGGATAATACTGACCCTACTCTATTGTTCAGCTGTGCAGTATTTAGTTCAGACAAACGTTAACTAGCATGATATTGATTATAAGCCATGCTGAGGCTGGTCATGTCCAAGAACAAAACACGATGTAAGGTTTGGAACAATATTTAGACAATGCAGATATTTTGTGTGTACTGGTAGATCTGGTGGCTTCCTGCCATGCTAAAATCCTGATGTGGACATGCCAGCAGGTGGCGTCAGTGTTCTCTGTCTCCTCTCTATGAAGCTCTCAAGGATTTTGTATTTCTATGTGGGTAATTTGAGTTAAGTAGTCTGAACAACTGATGGATTTATTGACATTTTTGTATGCAGCTGGAGAGATGGTAATTGCTGTGCTGGTGCGGGGGTAGGCTAGTGGTTAAAGCGTTCACTAGTGATGACATAGATCTAGGGTTGATTCCCCACTGCTGGACAATGTGTGAACCCAGTTGCAGTATCTACCAGAAATGTGGGAGGAATATTGTTAAGTGTCATAAACAATACTCATTACAGTATGTGACGTTGTGGTGACACCCACTCGGATGTGGTTAGAAGCTGTGTGAAACCAGACTCACTGCTGTGTCTGGTTGTTGGTTAAGCCTACCCTGTGTAAGTCTCACTCACTCAACCACTAGTCCCCTCACGGAACATCAGTTCATCTGCAGTGAAGTAAATGAGGTTGGCTCACTCACTCACACACTCACTCACTCACCACATGGAAACATAACTTCATCTGGTTCTTCTGCAGGAAAGTGAATGAGATGTTGGAGGACTCACTCACACACTCACCCTCACTCACACACAAACTCACTCACTCAAACACTCACTCACCGACCCACCCAACAACTAAATCAATTGCCCACCCGCCCTGCCCACTCAATCACTCACTCACTCACTCACTCACTCACTCACTCACCCCTCACTCACTCCGCTGCAGTCCAGTCTGTGTATTGTGTCTGGTTCCACTGATGAGGAAGTGAATGAGTTCCTCAAGAGCCTGTCACATCTGTCTATCACACTGTGGGAGTCCTTGTATCATTTGGTCGTTTGCTCCGTCCGTACATCAAGGTGCCTTCATTAAATCTGTTGTGATGGTAACCAACAGATACCTGATTTACTGCGGGTTTCTAGATTTGCACATTCTATTGATGAAAAGTGTGATTGCACTAAGGGGATGTTGCATTGAGAATTGTTGCTGATTTTGGCAAAGCAGTATTTTCTCTGATGCCAGTTGAACCAGCCTTTGGTGTCATTGGGTGCTTGTTATGAAATGTCTTTGGCTTTCTTCTATTCATATTTTTTTTGCAAACTCCGATTCATGAAATTCAGTATTTTCAAGATTATTGCATTTTGCAAAATGTGATGAATATTTAGAAGTTTCATTTTTATCAATGTTGGTGTTTTATTTTGTTGAACCCGATTTCATGATGGAACTATTAGAATGTCAAAAGGGTGGACATGTTTTTTTAGAACTGCTATGATTGATGTGTTTTGAGTTGAAAAAGCTGTTAGTGAATAGGACGGAAAGTACTTCGGTCCTTCCCCATTCATTCCTTTCATGGGAAGGCAACGATCTTGACATTTGGCTACCAGTACAAGGTGTAGAAATAAGAGACACTTTGTCTTCATTCCTAGTTTTTAATCTCCTGTGAATATTCAGTTGCCTTGTTTTGTAATTAAATGTAGTTAGAAATATCTCAAATGTGGAGTGAGTGAGTGAGGTGTTACGCTGCTTTTAGCAATATCCAAGCAATATCAAGGTGGGGAACACCAGAAATGGGCTTCACTCAACGTGTGACAAACGTGTGCTTTAACCACTGGGCTACCCACCATCCCACTAATGTGGAAGTGTGTCATCCAGAGTCTACTCTTTCCGTGAATGTCATCTCAACACCCATGGGGGAAGATTATCAGTCACTTTGGGTCATGGTAGAGTTCATTCATGTCTGACCCGTGAAGATTCCGGGGTAGAATAGGTCTTCAGCAACCCATGCTTGCCATAAAAGGTAACTGTGCTTGTCGTAAAAGGCGACTAACAGGATCGGGTGGTCAGACTCGTTGACTTGGTTGATACATGTCATCGATCCCAATTGCATGGATCGATGCTCATGATATCAATCACTGGATTGTCTGGTCCAGACTCGATTATTTGCAGACCGCCGTCATAAAGCTGGAATATTGCTGAGTGCAGCGTTAAACAACAAACCAAACCAAAAATCATTAATGTCTGCATTGATAAGAATAAGAATAGGTATATCTTTGTTGCACTAAACCCAGGGGCATGCTCAGAGTGCTATTATTACCCTGGTCACCCGGATCAGTGTGCACTCAACCATCATTCTCTTCTCCCTGGGGAGGGGCGGTCGGATAGCCTAGTGGTTAAAGCGTTCGCTCGTCACGCCGAAGACCCTATTCGATTCCCGACATGGGTACAATGTGTGAAGCCCATTTCTGGTGTCCCCCGCCGTGATATTGCTGGAAAATTGCTAAAAGCGGCGTAAAACCATACTCACTAACTCACTCTCCCTGGGGAGTATACAACCGAGCTACCTCTGAGACGCTAGAAGGTTGAGTAATGACTACATTGCCATCTCATCCTACTGGGTACCCATTCACTGCTGGGTGAACAGAGACACAATTCGAACATATTCACTTGCCGAAGGTGACGCTTCATGTGTTGTATGTGCTTCAGTGTGGGGCAGGAACAAAGCCCGGAAACTTTCAAGAGCCAAGCTGTTGAACACAGTCACCCATCGAAGGATTCTCACCTAATTTGTTACCTGTGCACTGTGCACAGGACCACATGCCACAACTGGTGTTGGGGGCATGTCACCCACATTTAACTGAAGCGCCATGATATAACTGGAATACTGTTCAAAGCAGCATTAAACCAAACTCACTCACTTACTCATTGATGTCATACCTGGTACAAATCGGAAGGATTAGGAAGGGTTTGAGTCATGTTGGGAGCAGAATGTCACTGGTTTGATCCCTGGCTCTGTCAGACCCAAAAGTGTTAAAAGTCAGTACTTGTTGTTACCCTGCCTGTAGTAGTTGGCTCTGAGTTGGTATATTGTGTTTGAGGAAAGTGTCCAAGTTAAACTGTGTGGCATGGTGTCTCAGTGGTCTAGGACTATCAAGCCGTCAATAGTACCAGCAGCCACACAAAAAAAACACACTCTCTCTTTCCCCCCCCCCCAACACCCCCAACCCCAACAACAACAACAACCCCACGACCACCACACACACACACACGCATGCATGCACATTGCCATATAAGTACAGTCATCTTGAATGCTTTATGCATAAGGCAGTTAGATGTGTTGCTGTCAACACTTGAACCCAAGACCATGGAAGCTTGCAATAAAAAATTACAAAGTGAGTCTTTGGTTTACAACGGTTCACAACAAATGTGTACTCTTTTATATATCTTTATATATCTTTTAGGATATTGCTAAAAGTGCAAGATATGCATATTTCCTGTAATACTCGACTGACAACATTTTACCAGGAAGATTTAATATGATATAGGGGGTGAACAGAGAAAATGGTCGTCCCCCTTATTTATTGAAAAGTTTGCCATCTATTTACTGTATTTAAACACATGTATCCTGTATGCCTGTGACTGACGTTTGGGTTATTGGTACTTCATGCCGCGTGGTACTTCGATGTCTGTGATGACAACAGTTTGTTATCTGTTCATGTGCTTCACGATCTATGTAGCGGAACTTGTATCTGTACGTCCGGAACCAGTCATCTCAGGAGTGACCGATTTATTGAAATGGCATTGGTAGCGGAACTTGTGCAGTGTAGTGTGTGTTGGAGCCAAGCATAGTCCACCATGCTGTGATTGACACGGAGATGCAAATCTTTTCGTCAAACGGAATCCTGTTTGCATTCCTGTTACTGATGTTGACAGACAGTGAGGAAACAATGGGCTCTCGCTTCCCCCTAAAGCATTATGGGTAATCATACAAACACTGCCACTTGATTCTAGTGATTTCAAATTTGAGTCTGTGTAGTGTCGAAAGTGTTGTTAACCGATTCGGATATATATTTGTGTGATCGTACCACAGCTTATTGTGGAAGGAGTTCCCTGTATTACATATGTAGGGGCTATTTCTGTTGAGCTATAATTACTCGACTTACTAAGTTTAACAAGCTGGTGATCAACAACAAATTGTGCACTGTATTTGGATTGTGTTTTTCTTCCCATATACTGAGTGGCAGCCAGTCACAGGTGACTCTGAAAACAAGGTTTGGGCAAGAAGGTGCATATTGAGGTTGTGAGGATTGAGCTTTCTGAGGATAACTTCAGCAT